ACACAACTGTGATTAAGACACACATATTTTATAGCAAGCCAAAATAGTTAACTTTCTTCCCAACAGAAAAAAGTCAAACAAAACTGGAAGATCATTCATATCTCTTACCAGTTAAAAGACAAATATCTTTCCCTGAGGCATTGCGACCCCATTGTTTCAGGTTAGAACTAAATTCCAATGACATTTATCACACTACATGAAAGACACTAGTGTGATAATATCTATAAAGCTATGATTGACATTGTATTAAGAAGAAATGACAAAGACCATTTATAAAGCAAGCATTTAAATTCCTGTTAAACAGAGGACTAAGTATACCATGATATGAATACAGGAAGAATCATACAAATGCTCCGTGTTCTTTATTTACCAGATGCAGACTGGAAAAATCTATGCTAAAAATATCTAGGTTTCAAAAAGTATGTCATTTCTTATGAATGCTTTAGATAAAGTACGGAGATAATCAATAAGCATTTAAAGTGAGTTACCTCTTCAGGATAAAACTCTTTCAAAGAAGAGTATACGAAACAAGACATTTAATCTCTAAAACCGTTTCCCAATTTACAGGTTATAAATATAAAAAAGGGCGTTTCTGCAATGAGCAGGTGGTGTGCTCATGATTTCTAACCTCACACAGCCCCTAAGTGGTAAGAAAGCAGAGGGGTTTTGTTATTTGCCATTTGGAAAATAAAAATGTGCCCCTTGCAGCTTTGTGGCCTAGGAGTCTGGTTTCTGACTGTTTTCTGGCAAACAGGGGAAAGGTGGACTGGCTTCCTGCTTTGAAGCAGCAGGTGCTATGGTGGGAGGGAGAGTGCACAGGGCAAAGCGTATCTGAGGGTTTAGGCTGGAGGAGATGGTCCAGCAGCAAGAGGTCACCTTGAGCCCTGTTGGTGTTGACTTTCATGAAGAGCAAACACCTAGGAAAAGAGAATCAGGGAATGATTAAGGATAAGGAAGGGTAAGGAAAGAGGGTGTTACCAGTTTGGGGAGACTCACTCTGTCCAGGAAACTGCAGTGCAGCCAATGTGGGGGACAGGGAGACAGCCACCACTGGATCACCAGGCTGGCGGGAGTCCAGAACTCTCCGGCCTCTTACCCACCCCTTTGCCTCACACTCCAAATTCAGAAGAAGTCAGAACACATCCATGATGGGAGGAGAAAAGGAATTGAGGGGATAAGAGAGGAAGAAAAGGACAATAGAACTCACCTTTGAAATTTTAATTTACAAAGGATAGGGCTGGGAATTTTAATTTTCAAATATTGAGTCATGGAAGCTGCAGAAGTTTTATCAAGGGCCAGGGGACAAATTAACTCCACATAATGTATTTAAGTATGAGTTAAATGGTGAATTCAAGGCTGACATGCTTATTAACAGCAAAAACATAGAAACGAAAACGCAGAACTGGTAGCCTGGCTGCAAGGACTACCTGAAGCCCTCTCTCTCCTGTTGTTGTTATTTTTCTTTTTTTCCTTTTCTTTTCTTTGTTGTTGTTTGTTTTTAATCCACCTCTATTTTAGAACAGGTATCTTCCCTCATGTCTATTAGCGATATGTTTCAGTGAATCAGATGCTCTCTGGCAGAGATGCTAACCGGGAACCTATTTCCCACTCTGTAAAAAGGAAAGAATAATGATGCATTTATACACCAATCCCAATTCTAATGTTTGGTTTATCATGAAATTGGTGAAGCCCAACCTTTTGAGCCTTCTGCTCACCTGATGCCCTGAAAGGTCCTGGGCAGGAATCAGCAGTGAAATCTTGTAACATTTATAAATGTAAGATAATTTTTTTTTGGGGGGGGTATAGAGGACACACACATTCTCCAGTATTATATCATTCAGTTCCTAAAAAGTCTATATCTTATATTAAAAAAGACCCAACTTGTTTTCTGAATGTAAGTAAAAAAACAAAAATTCTCATAAAAAAGTGTGCTTGTATGCAACATAATAAAATATTGCTTCCTGATTATCAAATAACTGATGATTACTGCAAACAGTTGCTTTTACATATGCTAATAGCTTTTGCACCACTGTGTTTTTTCATCTATGTGTTCTCTTATTCATTTTTTCCCCAATTTGAGGACCTTTCTGTATAATGCAAAGTTCAACTAAGAGTTGCCTTTGGAAGCCTTCTGGTTACACTGAGGACACTTGCGTGGGGCAGAGAATGGCTCCCAATGAGTATGATCTACAGTTGCTCCTAGAGCCAGAAATATTCCTGGTACCCAAGTCCTTTGTGGACACACACTGTTCTTTTCAAAATATATGTGTGCAATTGTAACATTTTACTAATGCATTTAAAATGTTCCTTGAATGTTTGCTTTACCTTGGTTTTTCAAAAGTGATTGCATTTTGTTTCCAAATGTAAATAAATATAAAATTCCCTATGTAAACATGATCTGTAAGTATGTTGACAATGAATGCATTCTCTGTAGTTTAAAAATTTTAAGAACCAGAGGCACTCTGGTGGGAACGGTATTTGAGAGAGACTGTGTGTGTGTTTGCCTTACTTCTCAAAACTAACAATGTCCCTTCCTTGCATTTTTAAAACTATGGCACTGCTGAATAAAAACAGTGATAAAAATAAAAATAACAACAGCAATAACTTGTACTTATGATTCCTGAATGTTTAAAATGTTTAAATTTTCTCAAGCACTAAGCTATCTCATCTATCTTTCTTTTCTTTTTTCTTTTTTTGGTAGAGGAGATTGAATCCAGGAACACTTAACCACTGAGACACATCCCAGATCTTTTTATTTTTTATTTTGAGACAGGGTCTCATTGAGATGCTTAGGGCCTCACTAAGTTGCTGAGGCTGGCTTTGAACTTTCGATCATCATGCCTCTGCCTCCCAAAGAGCTGGGATCACAGTTGTGCGCCACTGGGCCAGCCTCGTTTAATCATTTTAACCTCCTCATGAAATGGATATTACTACATCCATTTCACAGATGACCAAACCAGGAGATCCAGTAATCTGTCCGAGGTGACCTGGCTCACAGAGGACAGAACAAGGAGTCCACTGTGCTTAGCTCAACTCATTGAAGAAATATTTATAAAGCAGCTTTTTGTCCCAGATTTACCAAGCTATTTTGATTAAAGTACATATCATATGATATAAGCTGGTAATGTTTATTTCTAGAGGTATTTGCACATGAGTCTATGTTAAAATTCTTCCTTTGTAAGCAATAGGATAATGGAATCCACCTCATATTCTGGTGTTCTTGTAAACCACCCCAGACCTTCTGGAGAACAGCATGACAATATTTACTGAACTTAATTATGCAAGAAGCCTATGGTATAAAAAAAGATCACATTCTTGGCTATACATATGACAATATGAATCAGCCAAAATAAATGATCCAGGGACTCATATAACCACATGAATCCATCAAAACACTAGTGTTGAAGGAAGCAAGGAAGAAAGAAAATGACTACAATATCACATTTCTAATAACATGTACTTAACAACAAAAGAGGAAAGAACAAAAAGAATAAGTGTAGTACAACCATGCCATTCTTCAAGGGTATGCACAAATACAAAGAACAAAATTGACCTCATTGGATGGTTACCAAAGAAGGAATGGGAAATAGGGACTAGGATAAAACAAAATGAAATAAGGAAGAGATTTTACATGAAGCACTGATGACAATGTTTCACAAATTAAAATGTATTAATAATTCAAATAATCAACCTGAAATCTGGGGAATCCTGATTCAGTGTTGGGATTCAGTCTGTTGAAACTGTAATCAAATGCCACTCAAGGGTCAGGAAAGAGTGGAAAATAAGATTCGGCATCACATTCTCAGAGCTATCAATCACCACAGACAGTTCCCTCCAGTCACTAGACATCACTAATCTCATTTTTATCAGATTATTTATTCAAGTAAAAACATTTAATTAAATTTTCACTTGAATAGCCAGAAGTGATAATAAAACAAAGGTGTATGTACTGATTAAAAACTAGTGTACTCAAGTGTTGGCATCTTTTTAAATCATGCAGTTAAAATAAAATTTCTCAAAATATGACTTACCATCAAGTTGGATTTTTTGGAAGGTCTACTGCAGTATTAATATCTGATAAATGATTCTCTTCCATCTTATCTCTCTCTCATGCTTTCTTTACATATGCATATTTATATATTTCATATATATATATTTCATATATATATATTCTTATTAAAAATCATTTGATCCTCTTCCATCAAGAAGATTTTGCAAAATGCTCATAATAGCTATATGCCAATGCTGCTGAGTGCTGTGCTAGGGAGTTTCAATAAGATAGTTAATGCTCATTTTACTCAGTTTGATACTGTTGTCACATCACCTATCACGGAGCAGCACAGACATCTCTGGAAGGTGATATAGGGTATATTTAAAAATTTATATTCTGGAAGCTGACAGTACAGTTGTAAGAACCAAAGGCTGAAGTCACTCGGATTGGCAATTAAATCCACTTTTTTTTTTCTTGAATTTACTGCTTGTATTGGTGGGGAAATCCCTCTCTTTTCTATCCCTGTATTACCCAGGGCAATGCCACCAAGGTGACAGTCACTTCCACGCTGCATCATGTTTCTTTGCTTAGCCGACTTTCCCACTGGATGGTGCAGTCTTCCAACATGGAGGCTTCTCTCCCATCTGTCATCATTAGCAGAAACAACACGCTTGTCACCTAGTCCCCTCTTATCTATTGTATTTGTTGAAAGGGTAAGGAGGGGGTGTTATTGTATCTTGTTATTGGCCTATTTCCATTCAAGTTCTTCTCTAAACATATAGTCAAACAAGTAGCAAGTGCATCAGGGGGAGGAACAAAAGGCCTTAACTTTATTTTCTTTCACCTAGGGATATTTGAATGAACAAAAGAGGGTATATTTATAGAAATCTATTAGTAAAAGACACATTTCAGTAGCAGCACTATGGTTCAAATTGGTTTCTTTAGATGCCAATTATCGGCAGTTCCATGGTAGCCATGTATTCGTGCTTGGTCGGTTTGCCTGCTCTCTCTGCTGGAATGCAAGGACTTTTCGGGCTCAAAAACCCTATTTGCAAAAGCCCAAGTGAATTGGTTGGGTGGAAGAGATAACCCTGCAGCTGCTTAGTCAGTCTAATGCAGTCATCATTCCGCTCAAAATGCAAGGTGTAATAAAAAGCTGCAAATGTTGAGCGGGATACTCAGCCAAGGCTTCATAAAACAGAATTCCTACCGTATGAACTCCCAGACCCAGTTTGCTGTTGGGTGTTAGTCACTATGGAGAGTGCCAATTCATTTCCTATTAAGAAGGCTTTGTGCATGCAGCTAGACAATAGCTTGTCTGGGTCTCCTTTAGGACGAGCAATTACCTGTATCCTTGAAACATGGAAGGGAAGGCATGTGGAGGGTCAGCAAGGTGGACAGCTGGTCAATCCTCTGGGCTGGAACTACACAAAGGCTCTGCACTGCAGTTTAAATGTGGAGTGTCATTAAATTGGCATTTAATTGGACACTATAAACAATGTCACTAGTACAACCATGTTGCTAACGATTAACCCTAAAGTAATCAGATGCTGTTATCTGTCTTCTGGTGGCTTCTAGAAATGTCACTTACCCAAAGGCTATCTGGGGGGAAATAAAGAAGATACAAATGTTACAGAAGGAAAAAAAAAAAAACCCTACCTGTATAAAATGACAGCCTTACATCTCACTCGCTTCCTTTACAACTGCATCGTTAGAAACCTGTCTATGAAACACTGTGTACAGAGCCTACATCATTCCATTTTAAAAGACTTGTAAAATAGTGTTTAATTATTAAAAATAAAAATAAAATTCAAAGACATTTGAGCTTCTGCAATTATTTGCTTTGAATTTGACTTGTCATTCATAAAAATACACCGAGGCTTTGATACCTATTAAATTTTAAGGTAGTCATAAATGTCAGCTACAGATTTTGTGCTATGTCTGCCTGCAATGCTCATGGTCTAAGAACACACAATCCTTTCTGTAATGGCTAAAACCACATGTGTCTCTCCCCAAACACACACACACACACACACACACACACACACACACACACTCACACACACACACACACACACACACACACATATATATATATGCTATACATATGTATAGAGAGATTTACATAAACCATTTTGCTTTATATTCATTTATATATATGCTATTGAAAGAGATTCATATGTGGCATTTTTGATAACCCAGTTTTAGAAGAAAACAAAACACACTTTAGAAAAAAGTCTCAGTCCCTGTGGACGTAGGTGTGGGAACAAGAGGGATCACAAGGAGACGGTAGGTGAAGGTCAAGGCTGCAGGGAGTTAAGAGCCAGAAGAGGGGTTGTTTAAAGAAGGGCTGAGTGTCTCTGGAGAGCTGGATCAGGAAAATTTCTGAGTGAGAAAACCACTGTAGACATTTAAGATAGGCAGACTGTCTCTGCAAAGCCAGATCAGGAAGATTTCTGCTGGAGGGAGGCTCAGTAAATAGCTTAATATTATCAGACACTGTCTTCGTTATTTCAGGATAAAACAAAGTTTGATGCCTAGAAAATCATCTAAAATTGATGTTGTTATTTCCTCGTGGCCAAGGAAACTAAAAAATCATTATGCAGTAGTGTTACATTGCTTCAGTTCCTGGACCCTTATTCATCACCTGCTCTGGACCACGCAGTGACCTCACACCAGAGCCACAATCATGACCAAGTCGTGGACATGGGTATGCTCTGTGGAAAGAAGCAGGTGATTAAGGGATCCTTTGAATATTTTAAATAGGCAAAAACAGGTACAGGGTGCTTGGGAGCAAAGGGAGGCATATGTAAACTAGCTTAAAGGGAACAATAAACCTTTTGATAAAAAGTGACAAGAGGAATCTGGAATCAGCCAGGTGGCCGTGAAGAGGGTAGAGATGAGGAGCAGAAGAGTTTTCCTTCATTCTAGAGTCAAAGATACTTGTGTTCAGTAAGCAGTGGAAGACTAGAGAGGTAAAGAGAGGTTGAGAGAGGCCCTGGAGTTCTTTACCAAGCAAAACTAGGGAGAATGGTAAGATCTTAAATAGAGGTGCTACAATCCTACATTAGAGAAATGACTTCAGCTGCGGAGTGGAGAAAAACTAGAAAGGTCTGGGAACAGTTGGGGGAGGGGGCGATTAGGAAGTATGGCAATATTCCAGGACAGGGAAGATGCAGCCTGGGGAGAAACAGATGGACTTCAGGAGCAGTAGACAGGGATTGGCCCTGGTATGTGAGTCTGTTGAAGAGAAGCAGATGAACTACATCTGGGAACTTGCTGAACTTTTTAATTAGTTTTACATAGCTTGTACCCCATGACTTTCTATCATCTATTCCAGCAGGTCTTAAGCTATCAAGATAATGTTACAGAGAATGTTCCTGAAATGAAATGTAGGGATATAGTGTAAGAGATTTTGGTGGCAGGATTTGCAAGCTGTGAAATGAGAAGCTTTCTATTTTGTTGGTCTTGACCATTTGCCCTGTGTTTAAATCTTTTCATAGGAATCACTGTCCCGTATCCCCACCTATTTCATGTCAAACAGAATCACAGTCCGGTCAGAAATGCATTGCAGCCTGTAGCTAAATCCAGGGAATATTTCTGACAAGTCACTTCAAGTGTAGGACCTGAAACATCCTCTGGATGGAAAGCATTTCATCATAGTGGGGTAATCACAGCTTTCCTGCTTACCAGCTCATTCAAAGGACCTACTGACCAACTGTCTGTTCCAAGCACATATTTTGCAGATCTGAGGTAAAATTCTGGCTTCCCAATATGATATTCAAACCACAGATTTGCTCTTCCTCTGACAAACCATCCCTCCTTCAAAATCCAAACCAGCTACAACATTGCCTGTAGACCTCCTTGATAAAAAAAGAAAAAGAAAGAAAGAAAGAAAGAAAGAAAGAAAGAAAGGAAGGAAGGAAGGAAGGAAGGAAGGAAGGAAGGAAGGAAGGAAGGAAAAATCAATTTATAAAAAATCTTTATAGACTCAGATTCCCCAAGATTCACATACTCATTATAAATAAATGTGAGCTAAATCTTACCTATGACCAAGGAAAATTTCTTAATTTGCAATCGCCATCTAAAACCTTCTCTTTTTACAAAAGTAAATGAATTTCATCATGTGTATTTGGAGTATACAACACAATGCAGATAGTAAACTGTTGTTGCTACTGTGAAGTCAATTACTACATTTGACCTCTCATGTAGCTACCTGTAGTTTTTGTTTCTACGGAAAGAACAGCTGAAATCTACTCATTTGGCATGAATTGCATTTGCAGCACAATTGCCTTACCTCTGGTCTTCAGGTTGCACCTTACATCTCTGGACTTTTCCATCCTGCACCTCTGTCTCTTTGCATCCTCTGACCTAAAACGCTCCCCTTGTTAAGCATCCTGGATGTTTGTTCACAGGAAGTTCTCTCTCAGAATCCTCGACATTCTTAATCCCCTCTTGTTGTTTAATATGGTTTGCATTTTTCTAAGAGCTGATAGGAAAAATCACACCAGTGGGAAGTCTCTGCACACATCTTTGCCTCTCCCTGGACCTCATTCACCACCTTGGTCCTACTGAACTCTCTGCCCTCTCAGAAACCTAGAGTACTAGAGTTATGACATTTGAATATTTATTAATTTATGAACAATTTCCTTTATGAATTTTTGTATTTCTCTTTGAGGCGATAGATTTAAACAACCACCCTAAAAAGAAGGCATTTCCCAAAACTCTAATAATGAGGGAAAGGGAATGATTTGGTGACTACCCAGATGAAAGTTAATTTTCAACAATGAAATCTCTGACAAAGGTATTTGCTGAATACCTGAAATGGAATCTAAATAGAATGCTCCGCAACAAAAGCAGAACTTAAAAGTTAAACCTGTGTTTGGCAGAAAGGAATCACTTATGAATTATGAACTAAGACTTAATTGCATGTTTACATAAATAATGGGAGCTCGAAAACAAACAGAACTGCATTCCTGTATGACAGAAACTCAATCCACCTGCCTCTTTTGGCTCCATCCTTTGTTCTGCACTTGATCTGATACTGGACTATAATTAGCACTTAACGATTGTTTAGAAATATGGAATAGTTACAAAGTTTTAAGTGCTTTACAATATTGTGAGAAACAACAACTACCATTAATTTGTGACACAAATTTTGTGACCTAATAAAGTAGGAAGTCTTTATAAAAATGCATCTGGCAAGAGAAAACAGAGAATCTTTCCATGCAAACCTATGAGTGCATAAAAATGTCTTCTTATTTAAAGATAATTAACACTGCTATACATTTTCTCTCTGTCCTTCCGTCTAATCACTCCCAGACACTCTTGACAGAGTTTGCCCTGGTAATAGCTGACTGTTCTTTTTGATATCATCACTCCTTTCTCCTATGGACAGGCCAATATATTGGGTGATTAGCAAGAGACAGCCCTGTCTATCTCTATTAGTCACGGATACTTAGCCGCTCACTACATGCATCACCACTAATTGTGGCAAAACTGTTCATCTGGCCTCTTTTCCTTTGTATGTTTTCTTTTTCCCCAAGCAAAACAGGCAAGTGAGTCCATCCCTGAGGTGCACTGGGACCTGTGAAATCGTCTATGCTTCCTTATCATCATTATTTGAAAAAAAATCATTATTTGGAATTATCTTAGGTATTTTTCATTAAAAACAGCTCTCATGAATTGAGCAGCTCCTACAGTCCTAAATTTTAACTGCTTCAGAAATAAATTAAGGAATACTGTGTCATGGAAGGGAATGTATATTTAAATAAGTCTTCACTAATCTCAATTGCTCATTAAACACAATGAAACTGGGAACCAGGGGCAGATTAACAGAGTATATTTAACACTAAAAATACATGATATTAAATGAGAGATAACAGAGAGATCCTGCCCCATTCAACTGAACAAAATACTTATCTTCAGATTATTTCATTCCATTTTTTTTGGCCAAACATTGTATTTTCTATTATAAAAATGATGATTATGAAATTTAAGACCTTAATAATTCAGGAAGTAAAACAGTGTGCATCAAATATGGATGATGTTCTTGGAAGAATTGCTCAATCGATAGTATCAATATTGTTCTCTCAATTTCTACTTTCATTTTCACCATTCAAACAAATATAACAGGAAATGAATAAGGATGCTGCGGTAGCAATTAAATGTTGGAATTATGGAATGTATGATTAATACATCTAGGAAAAAAGGAAAACAGTAAAACAACAGTATCAAGATTGTAACTTCTGCAAAGGTCAGCCTTGTGTTGTGGATAATAAAATAAATTAGGGACATGTAAAAGAGCAAGTAATTGCAATGTAAGAACTAAGAGCATTTTGTAATTCTACATAAGTCAGCTAAAAGGGGGGAAAGGTGGGGACCTTTGTTTTCACTGATGATGCGTGAATGGAAGTAGCAAGGCTGGGGATTAGAATGAGGG